TAGCATATGCCGTCAATTTAATCTATATGATATGTTCACACAGCACCAAGATAAAAATTATCATTAATTGCACAATGGACTAAATAATTTTTAAAGCTCTGTTTTGCAGGATCCTTTTAGTTACAATGTCTTCAAATGCGTAGGGTTACTTTATGAATATCGAAGAAATTGAGCTCTAGGGAGAGTACCATCTTAATATGGATAGAGAAATCTCAAAAATAAGGCTGCCACAGAAATACAAGTAAAACCTAAATACAAAATAATTGTGTCTCTCCAGTCTGCCAGTGAATCACAACCCACTGTTCTAAGTTCTGTGGACACCACTCTATGGAAGAGTAAAGAAGAGCAGATGATGGTAGAATCATTTCATGCTTTATCATATGCATTGCTGTGTGGCTGGTTATATTTGGTAACAAATTATAATGGAAGAAAAAAAAATACTAATTTAATTTGTGGATGCACTGTTCATCAACTACTTTAGATTAAATTTCCCAAGCCTTTCAAAAAAATGGTATCCAACCATAACCTGGCAAGTTACTCCAATTTTCAAAACCATCACTACTATAAATGTTTTTTCCAAAACTGATATTTGAGTGTGCAGTTGTTTGTAATGAGGTGTAGTAAAAGCTAGTAAAGTATTATATTCTGTTTTCCATTTATCACAAGCAACTTCTCTGAAAAAAATAAAATTAAGACCAACATTATTTTGATTCTATGTTTTGAACTACACGGCTTTTATGATGGCGGATAAAATAACAGAATATTAATTTTTCTCTTTACCTATTAAGTTGACTCGCCCTGGTGCACGAACATAAAACTTGGGAGCCGATCCAAATTTTGATATAAACATCTCCTTTAGCTTCTGCAATCTGAAAGGTGGGTTAGAAACATTTAGAAGGACTATATTTGCAAAAAAGGCAGGAAGTTTCCACATTTCTTGAAGTAAGTTCAATTCAACTTTTTGAATTACGTGTTTTGTCTGTTACATCAAGAGCAACATTAAGGTGCTTATTTTTGCTCTTCATATAACATTCATTGTGACAGAGAAGACTCCATTTAGAATATTCTAATTAAGAAACGTGTATGTTCACTTGAAAAGGATAGAAGGGGCCTTATTTTATTTAAGTCCTCTGTCTAGGTTGGTTCTAGACAGAAGCAGGGAAGGCAATTGCCTGGGGTAGCAAAATACCATGGCCTCCAGCTACCTATGCCACAACCCTGTAAAACTGTTTGCCATTGAGGAAGAATCCGGCAGTGTGGACCAATGGCTCATTTGTGGCACTGGGATTTGTCACATACACACAGAGGCACTCCCTTTAAAGTCAGATCTGACCGCACCAGGCCTGAGCAAATTCATTTTCTTCCAAGTTTTGACTTTTATCAATTTCCATATTAGATACTACCGCATTTCTGTACAAATACGTATGCAGAGAACTAGAATTCCAAACCTCAGATTATCCCTGCAACTTACTTAGTATTTACTCTACAGGTTTACAGCAACAGTTCACAGAAAGTTCTTCAGGTTTTCCATTTGGAGGTGCTAGACGTGCCACTGAAAGTTCTGATGCAAAGAAAAATTCGGCATATTGCTTTATTTCCTAAGACTGCAAAGGTATCTAGCTTCTGCCCTGTGTTTGCAAAGCTGGAATGCTTTTAATGTCATGTAAGAACTGGGTAAATAAAGACTGAGAAGAGATTAAGCCATTATCTTAGTGAAGCATGAGAAATTTGACAGTGATTCACTTCAAAACTACCTTAAAGCAATTTAGGTTGCACACTAACCTATTAACTTTAATTAATGTAAGCAACAGACTAAAATGATGAAAAAGCAGTAAGAATACAAGAAAAATAATCTTTAAAATGGGACTTACAATACCGACATACCCTGTTGGCTTTAAAGCATGTAGCCAATTAAATTTTTGTTTGTTTGTTTTTAGTCTACTAACAAAAATCTAGTAACAGGAACCCTGCTAAGGTTTCTACATTTAGTCTAAAACTAGAACTGGAAGCCTAGTTAATGCAAAGTGTAAGTAAGAAGACAGCAATGAGAAACAGATGTTACAAAATTTCACAGTCAATTATTTAGTTTATACTTCTTTGTAAAAGCTGTGTTACTGTCCAACTACATATATTCAAATGTTTTATAAGATTTCTTTAGATGTAAAGCTACAAAATACTATTTTTTGTGCTTTTTTTTAACAGATCTTTCAGTACTTTTCCATCTTGGCACCCAGTAACAAAGCTGTATTACGTCCCTCTATAATTTCCCCTTTTTGTCATCTCCCCTAGTATTGACTAGTTTATCACTCTTCCAATTAGCAGAAGCAATTTCTGCCATTTCATTGTACAATCCCTTTTCTAGATCACATTAATAATATTGTAGTCCATAGGGGAATCTGTTGGCAGAAGTCTAGGTGTTAACTTTATTCCTTTTTGTGTCAGTATTTAGAATGCTTCTTTGTTTCACAGATATTTTTATAGTGGTGTTGGTACTAAGAGACTAAGAACAAACAGAGCAGTCATGGGGACATGTTTATCTAAGTGCTGATTGATCTCTTTTTTTAATGTGGGTTTTTACAAGCAGGCCCGATGAAAGGCTATTTACAGGCTTTGGCCTTGATGTTGCAACATGCATGCTGCATTTTAAGCACCTACATCAAAGATAATTGTCAGAAGTGTTAAGTGAAGGCATCCCTCACAACTTCACACATCCAAGCCTGGAAACGCCAGACTCATCCTTTCCGCAGTGCAATCATACGCAAGCAACTAAACTTAAAAAAAGAAAAGACCCTTCTCCAGTGCTAACACAGGTAAAAAGGTTCGTTTCAACTGTTTGGGCATTCTACTTCCACACACCGAGTGCAACTCCGTGGGGAAAGAGCATGCATTGGCAGGTGCCGCAGTCATACCAACACAGAGCCAGGCCTACGCCGTTCCAAGGAATCGCATGGGCACTTCTTTTATAGCCAAAAGGACAAGAGGATAATCAGTACCCCCAAAATTCTGAACCAACTAAAAACGCTAGGAGGAAAGATGAATTAATTACTCCCCTCCTGCCACAGGGGCACTGTGCGGGAGGCAGCAGGGACGCCTGGGCAGCAGGCGGTCGCGTTTGGCGGAGAAGGGGCAGGAGGGGCCGGTGCCCAGCGCCCGGCCCTGCGGCAGAAGGGGGCCGGCGCCCACGCCCGCTTGCCGGCGGGGAAATCAAAGCACGCCCAGGCCAACGTGGCTGAGGCGAGGGTGCTCCCGGGGCCACACAAAACGCAAGCGTCACGCTGTTTGTGTTGAGGCGAATCAAAGGATCGCAAGTCAAAACCCTCTCACACCTCAGGCGAGAGGCTTGGAAACAGACCGTCCCACCTGTCCTCCCACCTCCCCTGCCCGCCTGCAGACCGCCCGCCCGCCCGCCCCGGGATAAATGGCGGCGGGCTTCCGCAGCTCCGTTGCGGCCGTGGCCTCTCGCTGCGGCGCCGGGGCCGAGGGGAGCGACCCACCCACCTGGGCTGCTCCACCAGCTGAACCGGGAGGGTGCCGGGGGCGTCCGCCGCCATGGCGGCCCCCCCCGCTGGCTGAGGCGGGCAGCGGCGCGGCGCGGTGCGGCGCGGCGGCTCCGGCTGCACCGCGGTCACGGGACAGGCAGACACCGTCCTTCCGGGCGGCGGAGCCGGCAGCCCGGCCTCCTGCCCGCCCCGGCCCCGGTGGCAGGGCACCCCTGAGGCGAGGGTGCTCAGTCCCCGGGCCTGTCTCTCAGACCCGTCGGCACGCCGCAGCCCGGGCGGCGGTGGGGCGGCTCTGCCCTCAGCTCCTCGCCTGCCACAGTCCAGATGTGACAGGAAAGCTGTTGCGATGTGTGAAGGAAATGTTTTTCTCCTTCATTCCTGTCAGAATTTGGCTGTCGACAGAAAAACTCCAAAAACTGTCCCCGGCTGAGTGCGTGGAGCCAGCTGTAGGCTGCCCCGGCGGGCACCTTGCAGGCCTGTGGGGTTGGAGTCACCCTCGGCGCCGTGCATTGGGCCAGTGCCGGCAAAATGCGCATGTAATGAAAACAATACATTGGCAATGCGATCCCCTACGGCATTATCCCCCCCCTCCCCCCTTGTTTTTTCTGGTGTGTGGTTCTGCCAGCTTTCCTCAAACAAGCAGTCTGACAGCTCCTGTTTACCCCTCAAGATTAATGGCTGCAGTTACTTTGAGGAACTAAGCTTTTCAAATGCATTTACAAGCTCACTTGCTCATTGTTATTGACTGTTTTGGTGTATATCTTAAAGCCCCTAATATTCCACTGATGACACTTTAAGTGCTTGGACTGAGAGAAGCATAGTAACATTGAGATTTCATTGTGGATTTACATGGTTTTCTGAGGTAAAACTTTTCTCCCGATTAGTATGGTTGGCATAACAGAAACACGGTTTTTAAGACTTAGCAGTAGCCATAGGAAAAAAAAAAAAAAAAGACTGCCAGAAACTCTAACAACATAAAATGACGAACAACAAACATCTGCGAGACCCAATAAATACCGCAAATGCGTCTAAGAGTCTGTGAGAACCACGGCCTTGTGGAGACTGTGGAGGGGCAAAGCTTGTCTGTCTGAGGTCTTTGCCTCACTCAGCTGGAAAGCAGCAGCAGAAATTAGCGTTTAAAAATCTAAAAAGCCAGTGCTTTGCAAGGCCCGTGTTTTTTACAGTTTAGGCCTTTTTAAATTGCTGCGACAGAATTATATGCTTGTGGTAAAGGCAGCGCACGTAAACCGTTCAGCAGCACGGACTGAGGCAAATACACCGCACTAAAGACTAAGCGACGCTGCGACCATCAGCGAGCGGCCGGGCTTTTCGAACTTGCCATCCAGAGACGCCCAGTCGCAAGACTGAGAGCTCCGCTACGGGAGCCGGGCTCGCAGCGCCCACACCCGCACGCACGGCCACCGGCCCCGGCGCCACCACGGCGCGCTC